CAACTTGGATTGCCTTGTCTCTGTCTCCCAGTTCCCGTTGGTGACAGTGTAAGGGTTAACATATTGCTGTAAATCAGTAATAGCTAACCTTAACACTGCAGACATTTATGAATTACACATCTCATAGCCTGAATGTTACTTCATGATGACTGGTAATCATGGTAAGTTAGTTCATAAGATCTGAGGTAGCAAACATTGCCATAACCACATTAGATGAAAGATGGTACATCGAATTTGCAGTCAAAGTGTGCTCTTATCATTGTTAAATGAGCGTAATAACCTCTAACAGGAACCTTAACAACCATTACATAAATACTCTTAGAAGTGCTTTTATATATAGCAGATATGAGAAAATACAACCTTATGAAGTCAATCTTGGCAGATAGCAAAGAAGTAAGAGGTGATTGCAAATTGCATCCAGTGTTCTTAGTGTACACTTCAATTTACTAATAAAACAACCTTATTTTTTTAGGGATCTTTGAGTGGTATCTGTACAATTTACCAGGTTTTGAGTGATCATGTTTACCAATGTGAGATAGTAAAGTTGCTGGATTGTAATTAAAATGTTGCAAAGAGCTTTTTAATCCTAAATTTATTTAATGAGAATTTTCTCCAGCTAATTGATATTGCATATTTCCAGGTTTGATATATGCACTATATAGTGGAATATTAGTTATTCTAATTATGCAGATGAGATGCCCAGTTTTACATCTGCGTGAATATTAATGTATTAACCAGGCCAACCCCTCGAAAACAAACAAACAAACAAACAGAGATATATATATATATTATATAAATAAAGAGGGTCCACCATCATAAGGTGCAAACCATTCATAAGCCTCAATAATAAAAAGGACAGATTAGACTGTGCTAAATAACATCTAAAGAAGTCAGACCAGTTGTGGAACAGCATTCTTTGGATAGAATATACTTAGAAAGACCTGTACCAGAATGATGGGAAAGAGCATGGCTTATGATCTAAAGCATACCATGTTATCTGTAAAACAGAGGCAGTGTGATGGCATGTGCATGCATAGCTTCCAATGGCACTGGGTCACTGGGTGTTTATTGATGATGTGACAGAAGATAGAAGCAGCTGGAGGAATTCCGAAGTGTATAGGGATATATTGTTTGCTCAGATTCAGACAAATTCAGCGAAGTTGATTGGACAGCACTTCACTTTACAGATGGACAACAACCCAAAATATACTGTGAAAGCAACTCAGGAGCTTTTTCAGGCAACAAAGTGGAATATTCTGCAATGGCCAAGTCAATCACCTGATCTCAACCCAAAAGAGCATGAATTTCACTTGCTGAAGACAAAACATGAAGCAGACAGACCCACTAACAAACAATAACCAAAGGCTTGGCAAAACATCTCAAAGGAGGAAACCCAGCATTTGGTAATGTCTATGACATCAAGCAATCCTGCAAAGGATTCTCAAGAAAATTTTATTTATGATTTTATTTTAATTTATGATTCTGGTAATTTATCCAATTTCATTTAAGTCCCTAAAATAAGGGGACTGTGTATAAAAATGTGCAATTTTGAAACGTTTCATACTGAATTTTTGTTCAACCTATTGAATTAAAGCTGAAAGTCTGCACTTCAATTGCATTTCAGTCGTTTCATTTCAAATACATTGTCATGGCATACAGTACATTTATTTCCTGACCTAACTATACATACATACACACAACGTTAGGGTGTTCGTTGGGATGCGTTAATGTGACTAGTTTGTGATGGACTGGTAAACGTGACTAGGTTGGTGATTGAATGCTAAGTGGGACATTTAAGTGAGTGGGAGTGAGTGAGTGTGTGTGTGGAGGCTGCTTGTGGTCTTGTATGCTTGTGGGGTTGCATAGGTAGGGGTGGCTGCTTGTTGTGCTGCATTTTGATTGTAGTCTGTGTGTGGTGTTGCTGGTTTTAGGAGATGTTGCTTGTGGGGCTGTGTGTGTGGTGATGCTGTTTATGGGGTTGTTTATTTCGGGGAAGCTACTTGAAGGGCTGTGGGTGTGAGGGGAATGAGGCTTGTAGGACTGCATGTGTAAACGGGTCTGTTTGCAGTGTAGTTTGTGTGTGTCCATGTAAATAGGGGCTGTATGTGGATAGGGGTTTAGTTTGTGTTTAAGGGGATATGATCTGTTGTGTGTGTGTTGGAGGGATAGTAGCTTTTGTGTGTGTGTGTTTGAGGACAGGGGCTGTAAAGTGTGTTTTGGGGGATTGTGGCAGTAGGGTATATGTGGGTAATAGGGAAAGTGGGGTCAATTAGGAGAAAAAGGGATAGTCGGATTTATTTGAGGTAAAGGGTGTAGAAGGGTTTATATGGAAAGAACATTGTGGGATGTAGTGTGTTGTAAATTGGAGCTGCAGTGTGTGTTTGAGAAGGGGTAAAGGCTATAGTGGATAGGGGCTCTAGTGTGCATTTGGGTGTGATAGAGACTGTTGTGTGCTTTGGGGGAGACAGTCGCTGTTGTGTGTGTTGAGGGAGCTGAAAGGGACTCTAGTGCGAGGGATAGGAATTAAAGTGGGTGCATAGAGGCTGTACTGTGTAATAGAAGCTATAGTGGGAGAGTAGTGGCAGTAGTGGGGATGTAGTAGTGTGTGATAGTGGCCATAGTGGGGTATAAGGGGCAGTAGCAGGAGATAGTGGCTATAATGGGGGTATATGAGCTGTAGTGGGGAGATAGTGCTTGAATATGGGCTGTACTAGGGTGATAGGGGCTGTACTGGGGGTAATGGTCTATAATGGAAGAGTAGTGGCTATAGGGAGTTCTAAGGGTTGTAGTAGGAGTATAGGGATAATTTGTGTCCATAGTGCGGATTTAAAGGCTGTAGTGTGATATAGGGTATATCGTGGGGAAAGACTTAGTATGGGGACATGGGCTGAAGTGCTGTATTAAAATAAAATGAAAAAACTAAACACAAATAATAAAAAGTTAAAAGTTAACAATAAATAAGGGGGCAGGGCTTAGCAGTGGAACCACAGACGCCATTTCTAGAGCTCCGCTACTCCCACACAGAAATTTGTGAAATATTCACATTTCTGCCGTCCATCGACCTACCTGCAGACCAAGCAGAATACAGAAAGGCACACACTGATGCTGTTTTCCAACAACCGGTTGCTAAACAGAAACGCCAGCCTCCTAAGGTCTCACACGCAGCCAGAGGAGAACGCCACATGCCTCCGCAACCAGTGGGACCCGACTGGCTCACACCCGATTCCAGGAGCCGGAGGAGATGGGTAAAAAGATCCACAAATCTCAGGCACATATGCCCCAAGAAACAGAAGACATTGGCATGCTGCTCCAACGCATGCCAAAGCACAGGGACCTAGTGCAGGCTGAGACTGAGGCCTATGATCTTCAGGAGAAGGGAGGGGTGAGTGAAGATGCCCAGGGGCCACAGCACGGCTCCAAACCACAAATACCCCATCCAGCCTAGTACCTGCAACAAAACAGGACATTGATAACTTCTTTGACAGAATACAACAGCTTTTTGATGCCGAATAGCCGCGGTGCGGACTGAAGTACAGGCTGTCACCATCCACGTACAGATCTCTGAAACCGACATTGCCAACCTGCAACGCAAATTTACAGCAGTGGGAGATTCAGTTAAAAAGCTACAGGAACACCACTCAGACATGTCGCTGAGATTAAATGCACTGGATGAAAGATCCCGCCAGAAAAACTTAAAGATCAGGGGTGTCGCGAACACAGTGACTATGGAAGACCTACCGCACTTCATCAAGCTATATTGACTACACTGCTCCCAGCAAAACAAGCTAAGCAATTCACAAATGACGGAGCTTACCCTACCGCCAAGTCCCCTTAGGTTCCGCTCACAGCTCCAAGGGATATCTTACTATGCTGCGGAACGAGACAAGACAAACAAGCCTTGCTAAGAGCAGCTCAAAATAAGTTGCCTATGGACTTTGAGACCCACAAGATCTCACTCGTCCAAGATCTACACCGCTCCACTCTACTATGGAGAAAAACAATGAAACCTGTGACGAAGTGCCCTTCGCCGCTTGTGCCTGGAGGGGACTACTGGCTAGCCTCCTGCCTTCCAACTATGGCCCCTGTGCTGATAGCTGTATTTTCCCCTGCAGAAAGGTTTATTTGTGTATTTCTGCAGGGGCGTTCGGGACTTTCAGTATGTGAGTAGTGCTACCCCAGATAGCTATGCCATGGAGAAAAGACTATGGAAAAGACTTTGGCTCCATGGCGATTGAACTGTAAGTAGGTGATCTGAGCGCCATTCGGTAATAATGTGCATTCAGATCTAAGCTATCTGGGGATATGTTGCATGTATGTTTTATGTAGTAATTGTAACATTGTGTAATTTTATGTCTTTTTATAAACATGTGGTTAATGGATTCTTGCTTCTGTCCTGGGAGATTATTTTATTACTTCCCAACTATCTCCAGGATAGAGAGGAGGGATTGTGATCTCACTGTGGGAAGTTTTGTTTGTATTATCTGTGATAAGCTAATATCCAATATGTGTCCCATTGTTCCATCAGGTCCCCTAGGGGAGTGTCCACCTGGTGGACACTTGCATAAATGCCGGGCAGGTAGCCCTCAATAAACCAGACCTACTTGCACCTTTCTTGAAGCCTTGGCTCATGCTTGGGGGAAGGGATACCTACACGGGGATTGCTATAATCACTTACTCCCCAGAGTAAGCTCTTGTAAGAGCTTGATTTGTTCCTGCTACGCTCTCTGGATTTAGGAGAGGTTCACCCACTGGGAGCTGGATCCTGGTCGTGGATCCAGGGTGGGTGAGAGATTGCGAGACCCCGACGCAGCTGCATCGCTGGAAGTGGGGTCCGCAGTGCTGATGGTGTCGGTTGGAGTGCTGGGATTCCTCGGCAAGCGCTAGGAGCATCGATTGGCGGAGGTACTCAGTCGGAGTGCCAGCTTTCCGTCACAAAACCCATCACACAACAGCTGCAAGAGGCAGGAATAACATATAGATGGATTACTCCTAGATCCCTGATGGTCATCAAAGAAGGCAAGCAGATTAAGGATACTAACGTGGTGGAATCCACCACCTTCTTGGCAGCGATTGGCATAGGAGATGTCCCGCAGGAGCGGAGGGTCCAAGCCACCAACAGGGCATGGGATATGGACAATATCACCCCTTTCATTCCACGATATGGACAAGGAGCTGTGACATTGGGGAACCACGCTATCACAGTCTATGCTTAAGTCTCTAGCTCTTCCTTGACCTAACCTCTACACTACTAACCTTTAACTCTATTCTAACTGTACTAACCTATCCATCACCCACCGGAGTCCCCACCGACATTCCCACCAGTTAGGGACTTCGCAAGACCTTCACAAACCAGGGTATATCAAAGCGCCGTGACTAAGCACACTGTATTTGGACCTTATGTTGCATTGTTTGGTATAAGATCCTACTTCCATGTTTTACTATGTTTTCTATGTTTGTATATGGTTTATAGTATCTTTAGACAACTATGTGGTCAATACACACCCTGGTATGACCTGGCGGGCTCCTTACACCCGACTATGAATCCCCCTCACGGGCCCCGATTCCCAGGCGACATACTGACGTAAGAGCATGTTATGTGAGGCATGATTTATAGTATTTATGACCTAGTCCATTATAACAAACTATGGGTGATAACAAAGTTTATACAATGTTCAACAACTGAAAACACAGTGAACCAAGCATGTAACCTTTTATTCTAATGTATTCTAACGCATCACCTGCAAGAATAAATACATTTTTAAAAAAGCTAACTAAAACTTATTCTCTAGTACCTGAGGTTTACTTTGGATCATGGAGGGGGTTATCCTGGTAGTCTGATGGGAGAAGCAGCTTGTCTGCACTTCTGGCTGATTCCAGGGGAATGTTTCAGAGCATTGCCCTGGTAACCCGGAACAATGCTCTGATACAATAAAGTTACAGGGCAGCAATAAAGATCAAGCAGGGTCGGCTAAAAAGATCTCCCATATCAGCTTCTGCCACCTACTCCCCCCATCCTCGTAGAATGGGCTGGCCAGTTCCATCCTGAGACCATCTTTTAGCATACCCGGCCTCAGGTTAGACCCTTGCATTTTGATATTTTGGGGACATTAACAATATTAACAAACATCTAGTTAAGTCCTTTCACTGTTCCAGTTGTCTCTTTAACTTTTACTTTGAATTTTTCTTATAAAAAAAATAAAAAATTAATTATTATTTGTTTGAAACATAGGATAATTACCTTGCACATTCAATTAAAGGACCACTCCAGAACCATAGAGACTTCAAATATATGCATTTCTATCAATGTGAGACCTGTGATAAGCTGAAAGTGTCGGTTTATGGCCACAGGAGGAGGAATAGGCAGAAGGACAGAAAAGTCATGCACTGTGAACAGCACTTTAGGGTTAACATGTTCAAAATAGGTTTACCCCATAAGATGGTCCAGAAACCTTAAAGACTTTATTGAGATATAGTGGTTCTTGTGCCCAAAGAAAAAAGCAGTTTAATGTATAGATTGCTGTTCATGGATAATTTTAAAAATTACAGTTGTGTAAATTTACATAATTTTAATGTGTCATATATTTGTTTATCCTTTCCAGAAATATTGAGTCATACAGTGATATAAATATCGTACTATATAAAATAGCTCAAACAGGCTCTGAAATATCAGTGCAAAGTGTTTTTGAAACTTTATTTAAAAATCTAAGCAAACAATCTCCTTATAGATAATTATAAGTAACCTGCCGGCATTTTGGGGAATTCTGACTGTCACAATTCCAGCAGAATGCAAACATTGCATAACAAACAAAAATTTAATTCAACTGCCTTGATAAAAGCAGGCTTTTTCTCTTCACTTGTTTGCCACTCAAGTGCCAGGGCACAACATTGCAAATGATTGAAGCTGTTACATTGATTTCCATGATGTGATATTATTTTGGACAAGGTCTTTTTATTTATTTATTTTTTTACTATCCCTGCAATGCAGAAGTGATTGGTTAACAAAACAGCATAGCTAATTAAAGCTCAAGCTGGATGCCTTCTGGATGTTAGGGCAAACAGAATGAGGCTTTTGGCATGTTAAATCATTGACTGAGGGCATCACATTACAGTATTCATTACAAGTTACACACCTGCCAATGTGCACGCATGAATTGCCATATTCGGAACCCAATTAGAACACATAGCATATTAAATGAATAAATAGATCATTTTTAATGGAACATTTTGAGTTTACACAGCCCATGTACTGTGACAGCAAATAACTAAAACAGAAGCAAATGAACTAAAGTCAAAATTACCTGCAGTAGTACAATATATAGTTCTTCATAACAAAAATGATGTCCAATTACACAACACAAGCCGGACACTAAAACAAAATATTTTGTTAGTACAAATCATCTAACCAAACTATTTTGAAAAAAAGAAAAAAAAAAATACATACATTTTGTCTATTAAGCTACAGCAGGTTTAAATGCGTTCATTTACATTAGGGAATTATACTAAAATCAGCGGCAACAATTTTATTTTCTGTAGAAGAAGGAGTTCAAAGGGTTAAAAGATCACTAGAGTGTGCTTACTGCAAATGTATCATGTCCAAAGAAATATTCATAGGTCCCAGCTGTCCATTTTAGTGCTAAATGATTTAATATGCAAAGACTATAATTTACATAGCAAGTGGTTGTGTGAAATGAATTATTTATTCACTGACAAATACCCATTGCCTATTGTACTGTCGGATAGAAGATGAACCATATATGACCCTTTGTGCAAATTTGCTTTAGAGAATGTATTATCTTTGTGTATAAGTGACATTGAAGTTATAAGTAGTTTCTGTCACTGGAAATGCAAGTAATTTAAAGGGACAATCCAGGTTGGAGTTGGCCCATTATTTTATAAATGCATTTTATAGGTGTCACTAAAATTAAATGCAAATACAGTAAGCTGGAATTAAAAAAAAAAAGTAATATATAATCGCATTGAAAGAAAATGTATTTGCCCCAAAGTCTGCAGTTTTTTGCAATAAGCTCTCACTTTTGGTTTGAAAGCATAGAGGGATCCATCTTAATGGTTGAACTCGATGGACTTGCACTAGATTACTGTTTTTTTTTTAAATGAGATTATTAAGTGACTTAACGGCAATGGGGATCAGTCAATCAAGATGATCACTTTACTTTATATGTTGTAGCACTGCTAAGCTTGCCGATAAGCAGCACCTTACGGGCATGCAAGCATTCTGAGTTGTAGTTTAACTGTCAAATTTCTACTATTGTGTAACAGCTAAACTATAGCTTTCATAAAGCAAACTTATGATACCTTTTAAAGCAATAATTTTGGATTAAAAGTAAAACACTGCACGTTTATGAGGAAACCGTAGAAAAGTTGGAGGGGCAATACTAATTATTATGAAAACAAAAGGAAGATTAAAAAAAAATACCAGCTTAACCAACTGTAACGTATCCTACATAATGTCAAAATACCGTATTTAAGCATTGCTCCTGTCCTTTTATTCCTGCAAAGTAAAGCATTGCCATTTGTATACATGGCAATGTTTTCATTTCAAGGGGACTCCTTTGGGGTCTTAACAGAGCAGGAGATAAGAAATTATAAATTAAATAGACTTTGCAATAAAGAATGTGTAAACATTAGATGACTCTTTACAGGAAGTGTTTAGGAAGGCTGGAAGTCACATGCAGGGAGTTATGACTAGGGATGCAAAAACAAAGTAATTTAACTCCTAAATAGCAGAGAACTGAGCAGCGAGACTTAATGGGCATGATCTATACACCCTTTAAGAAAAAAAGCATTAAGGGGACATTAAGGCAAAATTGACTCATGAAGATGATAAAACAAATCCAAGGCTAAGCCCATGGCAGAGATGCTTTAAGCTTTTACTGGAATGGATTTTGTATTTTTGATTTAAGGAGTATTTCTTTATCCCATGATATAGAAATGTTTTTGCATTATATTCTATGGATGTTCTAAGAATGTGATACACAGATTTAATGGACATGCAATTAAAAGATATTTATTGGTATGTAATTATTTAAATATTTAGATCCCAACGTATTGCAAGACGGCTGTATCAGAGGAATATACTGAGCTTTTGGACATTGGCAAATTCCCGAAGGCCCAATTTGCAACATTACTGTCTTTTCATATTCACAAGCTGTCCAGCTCAACCTCTGAAGGCCATTAGCTTGCCAGTTTTACAATGTCTGTAATTAACATGGTAATAATCAATTTGGCCATCAAAGGCAATATGTTAAGTATTTTTTCTGAAAGCATTGCTTGTATGTTGCTACTGAAGACAGGAAGACATGCATGTTGAACAAAAATATCACAAATTCAGCAAAAAAATTGTGATTAAAGTGACTTGTAAATTAAATTGTTTGTCACTATTGATTACATTTTTGTTATTCTTTTTATCTTCTGACACATACTATATACTGTGTAAAATGATATAAAAGTGCTACGTTTTGCTTATATACTGGGAAATCCTGACAATTTCTTCCTCATTTTAAAGAGAAGTTTTTTTTTTCAAAAAGTTTATATTTATTTATTTGTATAGTATATATTTATTGAATATATACATAGTATATGTTTATTAAATATATACTAAATAAATATAATATTTTTTCATTACTCCTCCTTTTTCACTTCTGTGAGCCATGTATTCTTTTTATCTTCTGACATTTGGGATGTATTGTAAAAAATTTACTAAATGTGCTACTTTTTGCTCATGGAAAATCCTGACAATGTTTTCCTCCTTTACGTCCTTCGCTAAAACTAATTTTTGTTATCATAACACTGATAGAGTAGTTATAATAGCCATAATATTTTATATTTTTATTGCTGGATGGTGGTTATGCATGCAAACATTACATCTTTATTAATAATGTACTTTAAAGGAATGCAAATAAAAAAAAGAAGCTTAGTTATCATATTGCAAGTGCAACTCACAATATTACGTTACGTGTTACCGAGCAATGTTTCTTGTTGCTGACCGAGAAACCGTTGCACATAGAGATATTGGCAAAGGCACAGATAGACACAAAGATATTGACAGAAGCACATAAAGAATGATGAAGACACTGACATAAATGCAGATACACTGAAAGAGAGATTGAAATACACATACAGACAATGGTAGAGTCACTGACAGACTTGGCACAGGCACTGAAAGAGACACACAGTGACAAAGACACAGAGTGGCACTGACAATAACAAAGACACTGACAGAAACATGAAAAAAGGCACAGATACAAAGAGTGTCATACACACATACCCTGACACCCCCCATACATACACTTACACTGCCCCTGCACATATTGATACACAAAAACAGTGATTGATCCACCACAAACATTGTCACACTAACA